TTTAATGACGAGAACTAATCCGCCATTAACGAGCACTAACGATGTGATGTACATTAGTACTGACAACGTTTTCAATTAAAGCAAGAGAAGAGAACCAATCCAGCCAACATAGAGGCACTGGAAGGAGCTAGGGGGCAATGGAGTCAGTCCTTTCTCAGAAATCCATTCCGGTTTTTGTCGTCTTTACTTCTCATCAACGTCAGTGTTAACATGACTGATCTTAGCATCATGTTCCCATTTTATATAAAAAATATGAACCGTAAGTGTAAATAGAAGCTGTAAAGATCTTACCTGCAAATGTGTTGATGTTGCACACTTATCTAGCAAAGTTTGGTTAACTTTACATTTTAAAGTAGTATTTTATATATACGCAATACTCAGCGATAATAACAGTCCAAGACTTGAAATATAAGTATCGATACTTTATTTAACAAGTGTGTCTTTATCAACACATGCGAAAAAGAAAAAGTGTGCCATACATACAAGACATAAACATATAAAACAGTAAATTTGCATTTAAGACAAAAAACATAAACATTTAAACCGTGAATATAAATTTAAAGCAGTAAAAAATGAACGTATCAAACGGCAGTAATACGAAAAGAATAATCATATATCAGACGATAACATTAAAATTTAAAAAGAAAACAAATAATTTTTTTAACAGAAAACAGTAATGTAGGGTTATTTATCAGCTAATTCCATATTGGCCCAGTTATTAGGCCAATGTCTGTCATATTGGACCAAGGCCACTTTACAGAAAAAGGGCAGACTGCTAATATATAATTAAGCAATGTTTCGCTTAACTTGCTTAACACTTTTTTTCTAGGAATGTCATGCATTAATCCGCTAGCTACTTCGTCAATTTCTGCGGAGCTGTCGGATGCTCGCTCCATGGTTTCTTGTCATTGTCAATGAAGCGTTACTTAAGGTGAAGGTAGTCATCGCCGATAAGTATAGAAATGATCCGAATAATATGAAGTGCGTTCGATCGGCGCGTTATCGATATTGGCCCAGTTTGTTATGATATATATTAGACAGTTATCTCATATTATAGTCAATATGCAAGTAGATATATATTTAGTTAATTGTTATACAAAACATAATTTAGTTTGATTGGTTTTGTTTTGTTTGACGTACTGTCAATAACTAAGGTCAATAAGAACGTGCCTCCGTGTGTGTTGTTTATGCATGCATATGTACAGGAGACAGTTCAATGTCTTCCTTACCTGGGCAAACGTACAATATTAAAGCCAAAAATGAGGTTTTGGCATGCAAGGCGTAAGGAAATGAAAGGTAGGTATGAGCAGAGAAAAATACATCGATTCCAAATATTGCAATGGGTGCAGCATATTAAAGTTGGTCGTTTTTGTGTCACCAATGTGATAGGAAAAAAACAAATCCCCAATTCTGCAGGGGGGTGACGCATAAGTCGCCTCTGATGATACATGCGATTGACAACAGCAGGTGTATTCTATTCTCGATACCCGACCTGCAGGGATGTTAAATACATATTCAGAACAGTAAATCAACATGTAAAGGAGGAAAATACATCTAAAACAGTAATTTACAATTTGGCCACTTACAGATTAACCTGTGGTAAGGCATTTTGTCATATATTATTTGAGTATTAATCATTTGATTTTCCCCACACTAGCTATCACGGACAACTCATACATCACTTTAATTATACGAACCATTAAGTCTTCTATTCTTTTCTATAGTGAAAGTAGCAACGATAACTTTGAACGCGGATATAACTGTCCATCGGAAGTTATTTTGCTTGTCGATACTCTTTATTGACAGGAAACTTGCGTTGAGTTTACATGTACGTAGATGGCATGCGAAACGGAAATGTGTGGGATTACGCGAATGGAGCAGAAATGCCCCTAATGTCACCAGGACAGTTTTATTGGCACGACACCTGAAGATTGTACGGTTATGACGTCATAATGTTTTGATAGAGACACATGTACTAATACACTCTTAATTGGGGTAAGTCTACTGTAGACATATACATGTGTTACATTTGACTAAAATAGGTTAATAATAACTTAGAACGATCATATACATTGTATTGGACATTCTGCATTGGACAACAAGTGCAGAGCGGTGCTTGTCATGCTGGACTTGTCAGCTGCATTTGACGTCATCGACCATGGCATACTTTATAAACGTCTAGAATACTCTTATGGAGTGACTGATACCGCACTATGCTGGATACAGTCATACCTGAGTGAACGGCGACAGTGTGTTGCCATCGGATCTGCCACCTCACATGACAAAGTACTAGATTTCGGGGTTCCTCGAGGGTCGGGGTTAGGACCACGAAAAAAATGTAAGTACTCCAAACCGAGTGGAGAGATTTGTCGTAGCCTTCGCTATCATTGCTATGCCGATGACATGCACATTTGCTTGGTCATAAAACCACAGGACATTTGCAATACAGTCTCAGAAAGTCTGGACGCTTGCCTGACAGATATCAGTATCTGGATGAACGCCAGCATGCTTAAACTTAATCATGAAAAGACGGCACTAATCGTCTTTTCCCCAAAATGTCAGCAAACAATGACTATCCAGCTCAAGGTTGGTGCCAGCACTATTGAGACTGTTCCAGCTGTTAAAAACCTAGGGGTATACTTGGACAGTTCTCTGAACATGGAGAAACAAGGGAACGCTATTGCCAAATCCTGTTACTACCAGATCAGGAACATCGGCTGTATTCGGCAGTTTCTATCTGCCGATGCATGCAAGATTTTGGTGCATCCACTTGTTACCTCTCGGTTGGATTATGGTTACGCCCTGCCCTGTGGTATATCTGACAAACTAACTAGTCATTTGCCGAGGGTCCAGAACACTGCAGCACGGCTAGTTACTCGTACTCGAAAAAGAGAGCACATCACACCTGCGCTTTATTCGTTGCACTGGTTACCTGTACGATACATGTCGCAGTACAAAATTCTGGTATACACATGCAAGGCACTGAATGGAACAGCTCCTCAATACCTACAGGAGCTTGTTATCCTGTATCAGCCGTCAAGATCACTGCGGTCGGAGTCAGAATCTTCGTTTTGTGTCCCAAAATCTCGTACTGTGACCTACGGAAACAGATGCTTTGGGAGGGTTTCGGCTACGTTGTGGAATAGCTTACCATCTGCTATTAGGAAGTCAAATACCCTGGCCAAGTTCAAGAGGGACATCAAAACTCACCTCTTCACGTCTGCATTTTAGAATCTTTGCAAAGACGTTATGTAAATACCACCCTTTTATTTGTTCAATTATGTGCACATTGCTTGTTAAATGTATGAAAGTGATTGCAAGCCTTTGTTGTTTGTTTTCACAATTATAACCATTACTATTATCCATATGTTGTAAAGCGCATTAGAGTAATTTTACAAATTATATAGGGCGCTATATAAATGTTGTATATTATTATTAGTAGTAGTAGTAACCTAAGGAAGAAACACCTAGAAATAGGAATGCTATCAAGAAGGTTACCTCCCAACCAAACAAATCATTTAGATCAGAGTTAATACAATGACCGGTTGTTTCAAGCATAGTCCCTTTTCAATTTCAATAAATTTTATTGTCAAGAGACGAATGGGTTGGTCAGCAGACATAGTCAGTAAAGCCCTCTCCAAACATAGTAACAAACAATGGTACAGACATAGTCTAGTTAAGCCCTCTCCAAACATAGAAACAAACAATGGTACAGACATAGTCTAGTTAAGCCCTCTCCAAACATAGTAACAAACAATGGTACAAGCATAAACATAGACATTAGAACACATACATAAACACATAAAAACAATCATATAATCATAGACATAGTCCCTACCATAATGATAACTGTCATCTCATTGTCCCTCTCCTTGTATATAAGTCCAAATTGCATTTCCAACCTGTTGGCCCCTGACACCACCGATGAGTCCAGGAAGACAAAGGCATTATGCAATGCTATTCATTCTGGTTTACTGTCTTTATCACGTAATTTTAAGGTGATATTGATTGCATTGGGTTACTTTCAACTTTCAGGATGCAAGGTGATTGACACTGCTGGTGGATTTTTAGCAACCCCGCTTGGCCGTATCCTTGATGGACACAGTTGTCTGTTTTGAGTAGTGACATGGTTCCTAATGTATACACTGCTCACTTATATCATTTAAAGTTAACCAGTACTCTATGTTTTTTTAAATCCATAACTTTTTTAGGTACCTCCCTTTCTGTTTGAACTGTAGTTTAGACTACTGTATATAATTACTGTATACGGAAATAACCTATATAATGTTTAAACCTCGGAGGCATACGGTTTTGGACAGGGAGATGGACGAATAAATAATGCTATCAAGCAATATACAAGGAAAAACAGGATATTTAACAAAGAGATCAGTTTGACCAGTCAAATACAAAGTGCAAGTAGATAGAGTTTGGTATGACTTTAACATACAATTGTATAAAAAAAAAAAGTGAAACATTAATAATTGTCTAAAGATCAGTGATACGGAACGAAATATTGTTAAGATTCAACTAAAGAAGAGATACTAGGGAATTTTAATTGTAGTTCACCGTACATAACTTTTTTTCTGAGTGCAAAATGCAAAAATGAAAAACAAGGTCCAAGGAGAACACATATGTTTAGAACACATATGTTTATCATTTTTTGACGGAATCACTACGGTCTTTTAACAAGGAAAATAAGCTGAGTCAACAACCAAAAAAATACACAGATGTTAAAAGACACATATCTTTGCACAAAAAACCCCCACATAACAAGTACATATCTCGAAAAGCTAATCAGCCAAACATTACATACCTAATAACAATGCTCGAATGCCTTACACCCTGTAAGAGGTGAATCCCTCACAGGGATTATTATTTGACACGATGGTTAACGCAATGTTTACCATGTAATACCATAAGAAGATGGAAACAGGTGTTGTCATAACGTTGTTAACTCGCTATATAGTGCGCGCCCTCTGGTGATCTGTCCTATACTCACAGCTACACAGAAGATGAACATCCTGCTGGTCACAGTGGTTCTCGGTGCTTTCGCTCTCACTCAAGGTAAGACTGTTATATACTCCATTCCAAAAATACTCATGTATTTTCATAGGATGGGAGAAAATGTTCGGCAGTTATTTTCTATCCTATTGTTTTGCAGCTAAAAAAAAAACAAATTCCTTAGTGGCTTGCCCTAGACAATCAACTTATTAGATGTTTCAACAAGTTTTAACAAATTGATTTCTCTAATATAGGCAAACATAGAACAAATATTTGGGATGTAGTTATTCCAGTTAGGTACTTTTTATCTAGAAAATTCATGTTCTAACTTGACTTTGAACTATTCCTTAGTTGCGATTCGAAAGACCAGTAGGAGATATAGGGGATATAGGTGCAGTCATATATATTCTTTAAGAGGTAGAACGTGTCAATCAGCACATTCGGGGTTGCGAAGCTTCAGAGTAAATTACAATCTACTTTGAGCGAGTCATCAACTTATCTTAATAAATATCCAAATGCAAAACACACTTGTCAAACAAAGTAGTGAACGAATCATGGTAGTCATTGTAGACTACGCTGCCGTCTTTCCAATGGATTGAACGCTCTCTATGATAACAAACACGTTGATAAAACAAAAATTAAAAAACTGTCATTGTTGTTAATTGCATCTTTCACAAATATTCGCATATTTCGCAACCCACTGCAAAAATCTCTCGGAAAGATGTTGAAAGTGGCGAGTGTTTACTTCTTATAGTGCCTAGCCAGATGCAAACCTCTAAGTATCACGTTAATGGAAGAATATTTAGCAGATTTATAGAATCTCTGAGACATAAAGAAGATTTTCTAAGCGTTTCCAAAATTATAATTCATAATGACAGAGGAAAAACCAAATACGCCAACATTAAAAGGACAAACACTAGACCAAGTGTACAATTCATAATTTTTGAGATGCGACCGTTTACACAAATATATACGTGTAACTGTTTGTTCATCTGTAAACCCTGATTCCGCTCTCAAAAACGCCAACCTCAGATGTGGACAAACCGTGAGTGTACATTTGTACAATATGAATACACCTTTAATGTCTGCGAGTTATTGACAATGCTGACCCATACAGTCTAGATATTCGGAGTTGCTTAGCAAGCATACAATGTCCCGCTTAAATACAGAATCACATATACCTACACAAGTTTTTTCACAGTAAAATCGCACTGCTGTACCATGATGCTACAATCTCATATTTGGGGAGTGATTTAAGTTAAGCATGAGCATTGGCATCTTCGCTAGCCAAGTGTTCGCTTCGTATACACTCCACTTACCCTTGGCGGATATAGCCATGTTTTAATCATACCGAGTTATCACTCTTCTCCCAATTATTTGTTTACCCAACAGAAAGACCGTTACATACACACTCCATCGGCGTGTTGACAAAAGCAAGTGTATGTCGAGGCGGAGTATAAATGACAGAGTAATATGGAAACAATCAAAAGGCAACACACATATTTTCCCAGGTCATGATTTACATGTGGAACGTAGTCAAGGATTTCCACCAACTTATTTAAAACTCCCGAAGTTTCCCCAAAGATCTTGCGCCTATTGTTTGGGGGCAAAACACTCTGACAAAAACGAAAACGTGATTCCGTACAGGGAGTCGCCATTACTGTTTTCCTTCGTCAACAGCGATATATGTAAGACGCGATTTCATTGGATGCGAGCGATTGGCACCGCAAGGCTCGGTAAACACGGCTATATCCGCCAAGGGTAAGTGGAGTGTATACATGTACGAAGTGAACACTTGGCTAGCGAAGATGGAGCATTGGGGGCATCAGATATTTTGGAGGTTAATATAGATTCTCTGTTAAATATTTTGGAGGTTAATATAGATTCTCTGTTAGATATTTTGGAGGTTAATCTAGATTATCTGTTAGATATTTTGGAGGTTATATAGATTCTCTGTTAGATATTTTGGAGGTTATTGTAGATTCTCTGTTAGATATTTTGGAGGTTAATATAGATTATCTGTTAGATATTTTGTAGAAGTTAAAGTAAGTACTTTCACAATGTATGTATGTTTATTAGCGATTGCGATTCGTTGTTTTTGGTGTGTACAACACTTTTGTTGAAAATGAACTGTGGAGTAGTTTTACATGAAAGCGCTCTATAAAATAGCAAGGACATTGGGAATAAAAAATAGAACGAATGTAACAGAGACAGGGATGTATATGTTTTTAATTCCACTGTTTCAGTTTCCGCATTGCGTTGCGAGACAGGCTGGGAGGGATTTTGTGGCCACTGTTACTTGTTCAGCTCTGACAAACAGTCCTGGTATAATGCCGCAGTAAGTATCCTACTGTTATCAATCGTCCCAATGTTCTAATATTAAACTTAACTTAATTAAATGTTTGACGATATATTTTAATCCATGTAGTACGCAGCGATACCATACCATCCACCAATAAATACCAGACTGTCAACTAGTATATATACTGCTTAGTTCTGCAAACGTATAGCCATTTACAATCCCCGGTCGCCTCTCCATACTTGATCAAATGTCATTTAAACCACTAAAGGCTAAATCAATTTAACATTTATTTACAGTTTACCTGTGCGGAGAAGGGAGGGACCTTGGTTGCTATCAACACTATATCTGAATTGAATTGGGTCAAGAATCATACAAGGACACTATGCCGTGAGTTCCAGGATGCAAATACCCTCCTTCTGTCTACTTAAAAAGTCTTACTGAAAAGTCCATATTTATTCGAAGTTTCTTCAAGGTTTACGTTTCATTTATTTCTTTTTAAATTTTACCTGTTTTTGTATTGTTTTATCTTTACGTTCTGCATCTTGATGTCCGTGTGTTCTTATCGTAATCGGCGTTAAATACAAATCGACCCTGGTATGTTTACACCTACATTATATTATGACATATGTCAGGCATTCTAAGACAAAGATACTTGTACATGCTTATTTTTGAAACACTTTCGAAGAGATTACCTGTACCCTTTCCTCATGATCTGGATGATGTATATTGTATGTCCTGTCGTTTACCAACTCTGGGTTAAATCAAGTCTCGACATTCTTTCCCTTGTATTTTCCCCCTTTTTTTCTGTATATACCTTTCTTGCAATCAAATATGCTATACTAGACCACAACGATATATTCAAAGAATTTAAACACAAGCTGTGAATTTCATAACTCTTCTTTAGATTTATTTGACACTATAATTTCCTTTCTTCTTATTCCGTAGGCGGAGACTTCTGGATGGGCGGAAATGACATCAGAAATGAACGTCGCTGGGTATGGAATCCTTATAACACGCTGGTTAACAGAGATTGCACTGATTGGCACCCAGGCCAGCCTGATAACTACCACGGCAATCAGGATTGCATGCTGCTCTGGGCTTCTAAGGAATTCCAATGGGATGATCAGAGTTGTACCAATGAAAAGAACTATATTTGTGAAAAATTCCTGGTATGTCGGCAAAAGACAGTTTCTAGTTTTCATAAGTACTTAATTGTATAATGTGCCGCCTAGCCCTCTTCCCAAATACTACCATATTCCGCCTGATATAAACTATATCAAATCCAAAAATCACATCCGTTTTTCCAACTCCTCCGCCTCCATACCTCGAAACCACATCACACAATGTATCACATCCCTGAACCCTTCCTGCTAACCCACTCAATCGTCTCTTTCCTTGTTTCTAATCTTTTAATATGCTAATAATGTATATTTTCTATTTCAATTAGGGATCAGGACACGTATGCAGCTGCAGAGTTTAAATCTTACCAGCCGGATAGTATACACTTCTCATTGGATTGCAATATCAACATGTAGATCTTAGTTAAGTTTATCATTAAAAGGAAATAAATGCTGTCCATTCGTAGTTAATATTTTGTTACTTTCCCCCTTTTTATTCGATAATATTTGTCTTTGCAAATAGGGATATTACTTTCTTACATTGCAAAAACCACACTTGATAAAACTAGGACATAGACGTAACGTTGTTAAAAGAAAGGGACCATTCACGATCGGAAAGTCGAAATTGTGGAAAAAGTCGACGATGCGTAAGCATTGTTACAAAACTCATCACAGTAAACTATAAGCTGAACAATAAAGGAAAGATTAAGAATGAATTCACATGAAAAATGCGAGGGTCTTGAGTAAGAATGAAGTTAAGGAGTATTAACTAGAACAGGAACGTGAGTATAACATAGAGTGAGAACTCATTTAAACAAAGGAATAGAATAGTATTTTAAAAGGAAACAACACTGCCAATGTTTAACTCAGCCACAATTACCCAACTCTATCATGCATATATTGTTTGAGTAAAATTCTTAGTGAAACGTGAAGAAAATGTTATCGACATTCTTTTTAATCAGGGTTCCATCTGAAAAGTCGCGAGAACATAAAAACACGAATTACCCCCTTGGATGTTGAGATCATATATGTTACAAGTTTATCAATAATGGAGCGGTTTAGGGATTTCAGCACTTTTAATAATGCGTTACAAGCCCGTCATAAATCCAAATGCCAATATCTCCACAGTGTTCACCAACTAACATGTTACAACACAGACGATGCAGCACCCAAACCAAATCAATTGTACTCTAATTGGATTATTGGAGTAGTATGACGAAGAAATAAAACGCTTTATCCGAAGATTTAATCTCAGCCGTCGGCATTGAAGATAATTAAAGAAATCCGTTAACTGCAAGATGTTTTATTTGATTCACTCCAAAAAGATTTGACAAAGGTTATAACAACTTATGAGACGCCATTTCCCTTGACAATAATATACAATGGTTGTGCAGTAGAATCAGATTGATGGTGTCAATCTATGATTAATCTATAAAATCAGAAACAATAATTTAAAATTATAATAAGTTGCGTACTTTGATAAAACAAACGTATTCGTAAGTGGATATCGCCTGTATAATTTGTATTTAAAATAAATATACTGATAAATATTATAGCGATTGTTCATAAATATTATAAAAACAATGTTTATAAATAGTGTACATGTAACATGTTATATTTTCAATAACGAAATCAAACTGCATGTAAATAACAAAATCAGCGTCCCCGAACCAACTACACGCACTTTCATTTTTCTTATAAAAAACACCGCTCAGAATATTATTTCCTTTCGATGGATGACACCCGATCCATTCCTTCGTATTCACGCGATTATCACAAGGTTGAAGGAGGCCGATTTCATCACGTTATTGTAACATACAATAATAAACAGATTGTTTCCGTGAAACTGTAGTTTAGAACACGTAAGCAAGTACTGCAGCTAAAAAAAAATGTTCTCAGGTGCTTGCCGTTTAATATATACAATAATGTACGAGAATATGCAACTATTTATAAAAAATATTAGCGTGACATTGATTCCTTTTTTATGAAATGATAAAGCACGGACATTACAGAACCGACCACATATTGTTTTACTCCACCCGAATAAGTGTGTTTGTGTGACCAAGAAATAAAAAACCTGTCGTTGAATCTTCAATCCCAGCCGTCGGCATAGAAGGCAAGTTAAGGGGTCCGGTAATTTAAACATGATTTATTTTATTTACTCTATAAATTAAATGGTTGGACTAAAGTTGTAAGACGGCTTAGTTTCCTGACGTTTTATATATATAAGAATATTCAGGTATTTATATAAAAAATACCGTGCAATAATTCTACTCTGCAATCAGTAAAAGTCTTTAGAAAAAGAAACTTGGAAGGGAAGGGGAAGATAAACGATGGATTTTACCTAGAAATTCACTCGTTAAACATCCATGTATACAGTGTATTATAGAGAATAACTAAAAATAGGTTACAGAGTGTAGTTTATGAGATTATAGAAAAGCAATGATATACAATGATGTGATAGTTTAAGTTGTATATGTACAGCGCTAAATGTCAAAATCAAAACAATATCAGTATGAATATTCATGTAAATTCATATGGACACGCTTACAAAGACAAGAAAAATACATTTTGATATTACATACATGTATATACATGTCAACAGTCCTATCACCGATAGTCAGCAAGCATAACAATGTGCAAAAATATCAACACTTGCATCCAAACATTACTAATCAATGTACCAGAACCTTCATCATTCGTATCAAGGACAACAAAATGGTCAGTCGTTTGAATCAAGGCCAACAAACTGGTCAGTCGTTTGAATCAAGGCCACAGCGGAAAACAGAAGTGGATTCCACGCCTTCCGTCTCCAGAGCAACCCGCTTCTAAAACGATTTGTAAAGTAACATATGTGTCTCCAATATTGCAGCGGAAAATTCCACATGCTCATTGGATGTCTTAGCTGTTGGCAATTCTAATGTGACACTACCAAACCATCAGGAACAAGTTTTCAATTAGTTATGTCCGTTATGGCCACTGTTATTGACTGAGAAAAGGTTTATATTTCACCCACACAAAAGGATTTTATTGCATTTATGTATTACCAGAAGAAAACTGTTATATCTTGATATTTCATAATGTCACACTACATTATTAATTAAGACTTGATGCATTCAAAGCAACGTTTAAATGACATTTAGCTGTTTGTTTGTGACGTTCGAAAAGCGAGCAAATAGTATTCACCGAGACCAATTATGACGCCATTGAGAGGAAGAATGACAGCAAGCCGTCTTTTTGTTAAGATCCAGGCATGTCATACATTAATTCCTATGGACATGTTTACATTTTGATCAGTCAGTTGACTTAGTAATTTTCTTCTAGAAATGTTTTTGAGCCAACGCCCGAAACCTCGTCTTCTTTTACATGTGTGTAATTAACATCACATTTTGACATCATTGGAAAATGATTGATATGATGCTATTAGGGCGAATTTATAATGATAATGTTTGGAATACAAGTTCTGCCCCGATAACTTCAAACTGTATTGATTTTACTCACTGTGCGAAAAGCAATTCCATTCCTTTCAATGCATTTTATACTGATAGGATAAACAGAAACGCAAGGTAAAATAGTATGCAACAATCATGTAACTGCTTGCCCTAAAGTTGTGGTGAGACGAGTATATTGGTCACTGTGCACTCAAACCGGTGTCTAAAGTTGATGTGTAATGTACGATGCCACAAAGTGAAAGTGTTAAAATGCAAAAATAAAACACATGTAGAATAATAATGACAAGTTTGTCAACACATCTTGTCATACCACTTGATACTCTTGAGGTGTACACTTTGCTTACCGCTGTGAACTGTCAATCTGAATATCTTGCAATCATGGTACATGTACGGCGGACGGAAGGTCAGGGGGATCAGGCAATCATGGTACATGTACGGCTGACGGAAGGTCAGGGGGGTCAGGCAATCATGGTACATGTACGGCTGACGGAAGGTCAGGGGGATCAGGCAATCATGGTACATGTACGGCTGACGGAAGGTCAGGGGGGTCAGGCAATCATGGTACATGTACGGCTGACGGAAGGTCAGGGGGATCAGGCAATCATGGTACATGTACGGCTGACGGAAGGTCAGGGGGGTCAGGCAATCATGGTACATGTACGGCTGACGGAAGGTCAGGGGGATCAGGCAATCATGGTACATGTACGGCTGACGGAAGGTCAGGGGGGTCAGGCAATCATGGTACATGTACGGCTGACGGAAGGTCAGGGGGATCAGGCAATCATGGTCCATGTACGGCCGACGGAAGGTCAGGGGGATCAGGCAATCATGCGCGTAACGACGCTCACAAACCATAACTTCACTCACTCAACTGGCAACCGTTCACTCCAGATTTGTCCCAAATCGAATAAGTGTGGTACGAACTTGACAGGAGGGTAAGGCGGCGTCGGAATGCCCCAGACACTCTCGACCGACTGAGGACTGCCTTGTTGGAGTAGTGGAAAATATCCTCATGAAAAGGATAAATGCACTGATGAACTCCTTGCACAAGATAATAAGGGCTCTGGCAGATGCGAGAGGGGGGCATACGAGATACTGACGAGTCAGTCGATTTCACTTTGTAATGTAAGGCTTTACCGTCAAATGTGCTTCAATTACTTATTGATTATCGGTCAGAAACTAACAAAAGTAAGGTAATTTGTTTATTTAAGATAATTTTTTATACTCGTATACAAAAATTGTGTCTAACATTCAAATAGACGACATTCAATCACTTTAGATCTTTTGCCTTCGTTTCTTTATCCTTTCAGTAAAATATTATAAATCTTAAGTTTTTTGAAATTTCAAAACAAAAATCAATTCACTATGTGGTTTCATACCGATTGAAAATGTCCATGTCGTATTTGATTAGATCACGATGAATATATATATAAAAAAAGAAACTTTTCCATAAGACTTGGTATTGTTTTAAAGTGCGTAATAACATATCTAGATGTCAAAATGTACACCACTTTAAATCCCCATTCTCTATTGTCCAGAAACGTTATGTATCAGTAACGGTTGAAATATAACCTACTTCCTAAGTTTCAAAAACGTTGTGAGGTCAAGCACTATAATAGTACCGAAGACAAATGCAAGGATCACCACTCCCACGGCCCCTACCGCCGCGGCGGATGGTCGATCGTCGGGAGCGCTAATGAACTTCCGGATGTAAGAGGACAGTTCTGTCACATTAACAGAGAGCTCTTTCCTCAACTTCTTCAACCTTGCAGTTAATTTCTCTGTCGTCATGTTAAAGGTGCCCCTGTAACACCTACACATACATATATCCCCTGAGGACATCACGTGGCTGGTAGGACCAGTGTTTGTCTCTACTGTTGTTTGGTGGTTGGTAGTTGGTCCAGAATCACCTGCTGTCGTCATTGGTTGTGAATTGAGCCCAGTGACTGTACTTGCGTGTCCTATCGTCGAAGTGGTTGTCGATTGTGACTCTGCTGTTGTTGCTT